GGCGCGGCGCGGCCGCGCGTGCCTGCAGCCTGCCGGGGCCGGCGAGGAGCGGGCCCGCGTGGGAGGGCGCCGCGGCTGCCCGGGTTTGCGTCTGCGGGCGGGGGCTCCTCAGGCCGCCGGGGGCTTGCGCAGGCACGGCAGCGGGGAGAGGCCGGCCTGCGGGGGGCAAAGGGAGACGGCGGGGGAGAGCGCCCAGGAAGGGGCTGGCGGCCCGGATGATGGGAGTCGTGATCCCACCTGTCCGGAGGGCCCTGCGTGGCAACCGCTGTGCCGGACAGTGAGTCCGTGGCTGCTGCCGTGGCACACGGGTGGTGGTGTCCTCCTTGGTTCTCTGGAGCCCACGAGCAGCTCGAGGGCTCCTGGTCTGGAAGCCAGGCACAGGCAAGTGGCCCTGAGCGGGGCCGTGCGGCAAGACTTGCTGGCGGAGCGGCCACCGGAGGCGAGTTCTGGCTAGCCAAGGACGTCACCTGGGGACACTCCGAGCCCAGGACCCTCTCCTCTCGCTGCAGGTGTCGTTTGAGGACGTGGCCGTCTACTTCTGCCGGGAGGAATGGGAAGAGCTCGCGGGATGGCAGAGGGACCTTTACCGGGCGGTGATGATGGAGAACTACGGGGCGATTGTGTCCTTGGGTAAGCGTGGCAGCTCCCCGTCCACTGGGACTCTACTCACCCTGCGCCAGGATTGGCTCCTGCTCCTGGTGGAAGGAGCTCCAGAGCACTGCCCCAGATGGGGCTCAGCGTCCCGGTGGGCCAGCCAGGTGGACGCCCGCACGAGCTGGAACAGCAAGGGAGCCGAGTTCCCCTCCCCGCCTGGCCCCAGCCCCTTGGGGGGCAGCGGGGTGGGCTGGCCGGGCTAACGTGTGCCGGGAGGTCCTCTCTCTGCTCTGGGAGCTGGAGGGCTGTGGGATGCAGGAGGAAACAGCCCGGGCTTTGTCGCCGTCTGTCCCCACAGCAGGCCGCTCCTCTGCCAAGCCGGAGATCATCAGCAAGCTCGAGCGGGAGGAGGCGGCGTACGTCGGCGAGCTCTGGAGGCCCGGCAGCTGGACGGAGCCCCCGAGGCCGTGGCCGGGTCAGCCCCATTGCTCTTTCGCCCCTTCTTCCGAGGAGCTGGGGGGTGGGGGCGCTGCCTCCCTCTCTCTTTGTGGTGGCTCTGTGAGGTAGGCCAGGCCCCTGCGCCTGTGAGCCGCCTGGCTGGGCCGTATCCTGCCCAGCCTGGCTGCTGTGGCACAGGGGCATTGGGGTCTGGCCCTTGTGGGAGAAAGCGGGTCACTCAGGAGCCCTTTGCTGCCATTGAATCCCGCAGAGAAGGGCAGCGGCGCCCACTGGCGCCCCCTCTGTCACGCCCCGTTGCCGCACCCGGGTCTCCTGCGGGCTTTCGAGCCACCTCCCCAGCTAGCAGGGTTGGACTGCAACATCCATCATCCAGCCAGCATGGGCAGTGCGCAGGGGCAGCGTGGGCAGCGCGCGTTGTGCTTCAGGGGGCCGTGGCCGCACCCCTCCGCATCCCCGGGAAAGTGCTGATCGGGGGGGCCGTTTGTCTTCCACCCTGCAGATGATGGCATCAGGATGGCGGAGGAGGAGGAGGAGGAGGGTGAGGCGGTCCCGGCCCGGCAGCCCCCCACCCGGCGCAGGGGGAGGAAGAAGAAGGTCGCCGCCCCAGGGCGGGAGGGGCCGGTGACGCGGGCGGCCAGCAGGCCCCCCAGGGCGCCCAGCCTCCCGCGGGTGACGCTGAAGATGAACCCGCCCGAGTGCCCCGAGTGCGGCAAGCGCTTCCTGAGCAACGTGGCCATGACCATCCACATCCGCACCCACACGGGCGAGCGCCCCTTCCGCTGCCACCTCTGCCCCAAGGGCTTCCCCTCCATGGGCGACCTGAAGCGGCACCTCAAGACCCACCTGCGCCCCCGGGAGCCGGCCTCGGCCGCTGCCTCCCGGGACGCGGCCGCCAAGGGCAAGAAGAGCCTGGCCGCCCGGCTGCAGCTGCTGCGGCACCTGCAGCGCCCGCCCGGCCCCAAGAAGCCCCACACCTGCGCCCAGTGCGGCAAGAGCTACGGCACCCGGCAGGGCCTGCGCAAGCACCTGGGCACCCACTCCACCGAGCGGCCCTTCGCCTGCGCCCAGTGCGGCCGCCGCTTCCGGCTGAAGCAGATCCTGGTGGCGCACCTGAGCTGCCACCTGACGGAGCGGCCCTTCGCCTGCGGCCAGTGCGGGAAGCGCTTCGCCCAGGAGCGCGGCGTGCGCAACCACCAGCGGGTGCACACGGGCGAGAAGCCCTTCGCCTGCCTGGCCTGCGGGAAGCGCTTCGCCTACAAGCAGCACCTGGTGAAGCACCTGCGCCTGCACACGGGCGAGCGCCCCTTCTGCTGCGCCGAGTGCGGCAAGGCCTTCCGCGACAAGATGACGCTCATCATCCACACGCGCCTGCACACGGGCGAGCGCCCCTACCGCTGCCCCTTCTGCAGCAAGACCTGCCGCCAGAAGCAGCACCTGAACAGCCACCTGAAGGTGCACCGCGGGGAGCAGCTGCCCCCCGACGGCGGCGGCGGCCTCTCCCTGCAGCGGGCGCGGGCCAAGGAGAAGCCCTACGCCTGCAGCCAGTGCGAGAAGCGCTTCCGGGACAGGAAGATCATGCTCGCCCACCGGGGGACGCACGCCGAGGAGCCCCCGGCCAAGGGCGCCCCTCCCCAGGCCGAGGCGAAGGCCGCCGGCCGGGGCGAGGGAAGCGGCTCGAGCCGGAAAGCAGGGCTGCCGGCCGGCCGGGCAGCCCCTCTGCCCCGGAAGGCCTCCTTCGCGTGCGCCGTGTGTGGAAGGAAGTTCACGCAGGGGAAGTACCTCACCTTGCACCAGAAGCGCCACCGGTGAGGAGGGGCAGGGCTCCCGCTGGAATCCGTGGCCGGAGGGCTTGGCCGGAAGGAAGGAAGGCCCGTCGCAGCTCCCGCCCGGCTGGGGCCCGAGCGTCCGCGCACAGACTGAGCTGGCTGGGCCTGCAGGCACTCGAGACGTTCTCCGCGTCGCGTCTTCCAGTGAGAGTCCGCAGGCGGCGGGGCCGGGGGAAGGCGGGCCTGGCGCATCGACCAGCCGCTTCCAGTGGTTCCCTCTCGGCCAGGACCAGCACGTCGCCCTCGGTGCCCGTTCAAGACGGAGCCACCTGAATTCCTTTGCATCGTGACAGGAAAGGGTGGAGAAAGGGGCAGCGAATCCGGACATGGGCTGGGCGATGCTGGGGAACATAAATCCGCTGGGGCGCCGTCTGCGTGAAGCTTCCCCCCCGGCATTCCCGGGGGGTTCCTGCTTGCACCCCTGCCTGCCACACAGGGACGCGGCATCGGCCTCTGCAGGGCCCAGCCGGAACCAAGGAAGAGCAAAGTCGGCCCGCTTCTGGTGTCCCCTTTTGCATGTGGGGGGCCCGCAAGGGGGGGCATGGCCCTCTCTGGGGCTTCCTTTATGGGGCCAGTCCATCTCCTTTTTGGGTTTCTTCCGGCAGTCCGAGTCATACTGGCCCTGAAAACTCTTCTGTGGGGAATCATTCCAAGGAGCTGCTCTTGGGCTGATCTTCCAGGTCGGCGGCTTCTGACCGGCCTCCCTAGAAGCCCTCTAGGCCGCCGCATCTGGGGGGTTCCCTCGGTGAATCGCACCCTTCGCAGGAGCAGGAGATGCCCGCTGGCTGTCGCGACTGCTGCCGCCTCCCCGGGCAGCCCGCAGTCTTGTTGAGGCTCCGCACACTCCTCTTGCCCAACTCTGCCTTCCCCCGGGGATGCTGGGGGCGGGGGCGATGCACGCCTCTGCAGGGCACCCAGGTGGGAAGGTCGCACCCGGGATCATGGCACTCTGTTTGCCCGCAGAAGCCTCGTGGAGCTTTTCTGGACCTCTTTCCCGAAGTTTCTCTGACTCCGTGCCCCCAAAGCCCTCCCCAAACCACACCTTGAGCCCGCCTGTAGCAAACACTGGAATAAGCAGGTTTAGGATGAAGACGGAGCCCTGGCCAGGCCGCCGGGAGGGGCAGCCCCGTTGCAGAGTGGGGCCACCAGCGAGCTTGGACCTGCTGAGCAGCCAGGCGTTGGCCAGGCTCCCTCCCTCTCTCGGAAGACCTCTCCCCTGCCTGTTCACAGAGGACCATGGGCTGCCCGCCTGTCCTGCTGGCTGAGCTCGGGGGGGGGGGGGCTGGGTCTCGCCCGCCTTGTCGGGTGCTGGGCTGGTGGCCGGCCGGTCGTAAACGGGGGTGGCCTCTCACCACCCTGGGGTCCCCCGGGCCGATTGAAGGTTTTCGGGGGAAGGGGGACAGGCGCAGAAATGTCCCCATGGAACTGAGAGCGCTTTCCGCCAATGCTTAGCAGAGCTCATCCGTGCAGCCCCTTCGGAGAGCACCCCACTCTTCCTCCCCACTGGCCAAACCGCTGGTGCCGGCGGGAGTTGGGGTCCAGACCTCTTAGAGGGCTTCCCCTTGGGGGGACTGTGCAGAAGCATCAGCCCCCCCGAAGGGCCCAAGCGGGAGGTCTTCCAGCCGGGTGTGGGCACCGCAGGGGGCGATGCATTCCTAGGAGGCCCTGGCGCGCCCCAGAGTCTCTGCCTCCCCTCCACGGGTAGCCCTTTTGCACAGGAGGGAGCGTTCCAAAGGCCGGGGGGGGGGCAGTGTTGGCAGTTTGTGGTATGGGGACCCAGCGGCTGGGAGTGTGTACGCCCCGCAAGAGGCGCCGCGCGTGAGAGAACAGTGCCATGCCAGACACTTATACAGAATAAACCGCCTGTGTTCACGCCTCCTGTGAGTGTGCCGCCCGTGTTCTTTGCACGCAGTTAGACACACGACGCCGTGACCCGTGCTCAGCCCAGGTGTGGCCCAAGTGCAGCTCTGATCTTGGGCGAGCAGCACCTTTCCGGGCCGCCACAGGCAAGAGGTGCCCACCTGCCATGCTCCAGCCATCCGAAAAATGCTGGACTCAAGCAAGAGGAAGTGGGGACCCTCTCAGCCCCCCCCCCCCGTTCTCGACCGCCCTGTGACCCGTCCCTGAAACAAGCAGTTTCCTGCAACTGGGTTCTGCATTGCCGTTCCCATCATCCGTGTCCAGGAGGCTCGAAATTTTCCGAAGCCTCCGAACTTCCCCCGGGTCCATCGATGAAACCGGGGGGCCTCCGGGCCGCGGTTGCTCTCGGGGGGTGGGGGCTTCCGCGACAGCGCATGCCAGAGTACAGGGGCCGCTTCGGGGGCGCGCGGTGCTCTGGGGGCGTCCTCCAGGCCCCTTACGGGTCGCGGGCCCGTCGCCTCTGGGGGGGGGGGGGGGGCGGCGCCGGCCCCCCCAAGGTGAGCCGTGCAGGTGGGGGGCGAGCAGTGCAGCCCCCCGCGCCAGGCCCCACGCGCGCCGGAGGAGCAGGAGGAGGAGGGGGGGGCCGGCGGGGGGGGCTCGCCTCGGCCGGCCAAGCGGATCCGGTTCACGAGGCGACGTGGCGCCCCGCCCGGGCAGCGCCGTCGGCTCGCGGGAGGCCTGGGCGCGGCTGCGTCGGGACCTGCCGCCGCGCCCGCGCCCGCCGAGCCGCGCCCCCGCCCGGCAGGCAGGCAGGCAGGCAGGCAGGCAGAGGCAGCTCGCCGCCGCGGCCCGCGGAGAGGGCGGACGATGCGCGACGCCGCGGTAGGGCTCCCCCGGCCCCGCTCCCTGCCCCTGCGCGGCCCAGGCGCCGAGCCCGAGGCGCGCCCGGCACCCCGCGGAGGAAGAACAAAGGGGGACGTGCCTCTGGCCATGTGCAGACTGGCTCGGCTCCGGAGGGAGGCTTGGGGAGGGCGGCGAGGCCTGCAAGCGGAGCAGGGCTGCTGCGCGGGCGCCTCGGGGAGGGGGCGGACCGGCGAGTCTCCCGGCGGGGAGCGGGCGGGCTGCGAGGACCCGGCCGGGGCCCCCCGCGCCCCGGGGCAGGCCGAGCTCCGCCTGCGCCGGGGGGGGGGGGGCCGTTCGGCGGCTGGATGCGCGGGGGCTGAGCCGTCCTCGCTCTCCCGCGCAGGGCTCGCCGGTGGCGCTGGAGGACATCACGGTGCGCTTCTCCGCGGAGGAGTGGGCCGGGCTGGCGGAGTGGCAGCGGCGGCTGCACCGGGACGTCTCGCGGCAGAACGCCGAGCTGCTCGCCTCGCTGGGTAACGCGCGCCGGGGCTGCCGTCCGCCTGCGGGGGGGGGGAACTGGGGGTCCCACCCGGGGCCGCGCGGTGGATGCCCCCGGCCTGGCCCGGCCCGGCCCGCGGCGAGGGGCGCCCCCCCAGCTTGCCCGGCACACCTGCTCGCGGGGGAACGTGATAAGGGGAAGCCCCGCTTTTCCCGACGAACCGGAGCTTTCTGCCGTTGCGCGGAAGCTTCTGCCGTTTGGTTCGGGGCCGGGCCACTGGCCGTTGCATTAATTGTTTTGGGACACCACGACATTTGTCAAAAGACCCCGGAGAGGACCCCAGCACCCACAGCTTTGGGCCAACCGGCTTAGAACAGCTCTGCCCCCCCACCCCCCGGCACCTGTTTGGCCAACTGCAGGCGGTATGGGGAGAGGGCAGAACTTCCAGCCGCACTGCCGAATTCAGTTTCGGAGGGATGGGGCCTATCGAAGAGGGCGGCCTTTATGGCCGATCACCAGCTCTTCCGTGGGCGTTTTCTTCCCGGGGGGCGCAAAGCTGCCCGATCCCCCGCGGTGCGAGGAAAGGCGCGGCCCTGGGGGCTCCCGTGCAGCTCGGGGCGGCCCGTCGTCCTGCATCCCGGGCCAGGGGGGCCGTTGCTCGGGGCCGCTCGGGCCGCTTTTGCCCCGTGGAGCCGCGTGAACGGGCGGGGAGGAAGCTGGCCAAGCGCCCGCTCGGGGACCATCTTCTGCTTTGCCGTCCAGCAGGCTGCGATCTCCGGGTGAAGGAGGAAGAGGAGGAGCCGGCCCGCCAGGGCGAGGGCGAGGGCGAGGACGGCACCCGAGCGGCCTTCCTCGAGGCGCTCCTCTGGGGCCTGGAGGCAGGTGGGCCAGATGTGCAGCGGCAGTCCCCGAGGCCGGGCGGGGGGCTGGCGGGGTGGGCCGCGGGCGAGGAGGGGCCCGTGGCGGAGGTGTGCCCCCTCACCTGCCCGGCCTGCGGGAAGCGCTTCAAGAGCCGGGCGGCCCGCCTGACGCACCAGCGCATCCACACGGGCGAGCGGCCCTTCGCCTGCGCCGAGTGCGGCCGCCGCTTCACGCAGAGGCAGCACCTGGGCACGCACCTGCGGGTGCACGGCGGGGAGCGGCCCTTCACCTGCGCCGAGTGCGGCAGCACCTTCCGCCTGCAGAAGCTGCTGCTGACGCACCGGCGCAAGGCGCACTCCGGGGAGCCGCCGCTGGCCTGCGCCGACTGCGGGAAGCTCTTCAACCACAAGCACCACCTGATGACGCACCGTCGGGTGCACACGGGCGAGCGGCCCTTCCCCTGCCCGGACTGCGACAAGCGCTTCACCCAGAAGCACCACCTGATGACGCACCGGCGCGGCCACTCGGGCGACCGCCCCTTCCCCTGCCCGCAGTGCGGCAAGGCCTTCAAGGACCGGGCCGGGCTGCTGATGCACCAGGTGGTGCACACGGGCGCCAGGCCCTTCGCCTGCCAGCGCTGCAGCAAGATCTTCAGCCACAAGCACCACCTGGTCATCCACCAGCGCGTCCACACGGGCGAGAAGCCCTTCGCCTGCGAGGTGTGCCGCAAGCGCTTCACCCAGAAGCACCACCTGCTCAGCCACGCGCGCATCCACACGGGCGAGCGCCCCTACTGCTGCGAGGCCTGTCCCCGCAGCTTCAAGGACCGCATCACGCTGAAGCTGCACGTGCGCCTGCACACAGGCGAGAAGCCCTTCGGCTGCGCCCGCTGTGGGGCCCGCTTCCGCCTGCGCAAGGCGCTGCTCGCCCATCACCGGACACACGACGCCCCTGCCGCGCTCATCTGCACCGAGTGCGGGGACAGCTTCCCGCGCATGCGCAGCCTGGCGGCCCACAGGCGGCGGGCACACCCCTCTGCGCCCAAGGGCCCGGGGGCCCGGCCTGGGACAGCCGGGGCGAGGCGAGCACCGCGGGCCGGCGAGGAGAGGGCCCCGCCTGGGCAGGGAGCAGAGCGGGAGGCGGGCCCGGCGTGTGGCGGAGCGTCCCGGCCGGGCCGAGGTTGCCCGCAACTTGCCCCGGACTTCTCCCCCCTGGAGGCGGATGCGCCCCGGCCGTGAATGGGAGGGCACCGGCTCAGCACGGGCGTCCCAGGCTTCTTCTCGCTGGCCTCGTGGCTGTGGAGACTTCCCGAGGCGCAGCCTGACCTCCAGGGCGGTTTCCCATTCCCCGGCCTCCTGCTTCCGCCAGAGGGCTGCACCGGGCACGCCGCCCACCCGGTTTCTGCAGGAGCAACTGGTGCTGCCACGCTCCGGGAGGACGCTCCTGGGCTCCTCGTGTGTTGCTGCGCCCTTTCCTGGCGCTGCTAAGCAGCGAGCCTGGAGCGTGGCCCTCCTCCCAGCACAGACGGGCTTTCTGGCGACTTGCAGGAGAGCTGAATTTGGGCCTGGCTGCGAGAGGGACCTGGAGCCTCGATTCCGGCTCCCCGGCAGGGGCCCAGCAGCCGTCGCTCCCGCCAACGCCAGTCGGCACATCCCCTCGCGCCTGTCTCTGTAGCCAGGGCCACACGAAATGCGGTGCCAAAACGTCGTCTGCCCCCCCCCCTTGCTCAGCTTCGTGTGTGCATGCACGTGTGTGAGAGAGAAACCCCCCCTCTGGACTGGGACTGGGCATGGTGGGAGGAGCGGGGGCCCCTGTGACCGGCTGCCTGCCCCGCGATGGCGCAAGAGGCTTTCCGTAGAAGAGCTGGCGCCCCGGAGCTCCCTTCCGGAAAGCGCTTGACCAAAGTGTGGCTCGGGGAGGCGGGGCTGGTGGGGGGCCCCTCTTCCGGCGAGCTCTGGAGGAAGGAGCGAACTCCTCCGGAGCCGCTTCGCCGTCCCTCCCTGCCCTTGCGGTGGGAAGTCGCGCAGTCGCTTCCACCACACGCGGCTCCGGTTGCGCCTTGGTGTCTGGACTGGGACCAGGCGCCTCAGTTTCGGGTGATTTAAGTGTGTCCGTGTGGCTGATGCTTGCAGTAACTTTTTCTGCCGCTGAGGCAGCTGAGAGGGAGGCCGGGGGACTCGGGCTCCCTGCCCCCCTGCAGAGGGGCCGCAGGAGTGCCCCACGCGAGGCCGAGGCCTGGGCCCCTCAGCCAGGACCGGCACGGCGTGTCCCAGCCACACAGCCGTGGGCGCGTGCTCCAGGGCCGAGCTGCACCAGGCGACGGTTCTTCCCGCTCTTGCACCCACTTGCTGGCAGAAGTCAATAAAAGGAGTCCGTGTGAAGCTGCTGGCTGGTTTTATTAATGGCAAGAAATGGGCACGGTTTGCGCAGAGGAATGGGGCGGTCGTGTGGGGACACGTGGGGCGGCACCGGGACGGGAGCGGCACTGGGACGGGAGCGGCTCGGTCCCACCGGCAGCTGCAGCGTCGGCGTCCGGTCAGCGCTTGGAGAAGTCGCCACCTGGAACGGAGAGGAGGGAGGAGTCCCAGGCAGGTGGGGGGCCGGGAGGGCGGCGTGCTGGCCCCACGCTGCTGGGGCAAGGCTGGAGGGCCCGCACTGGGGGAGGCAGGCACAGATTCAGCGGGTCGAGAGGAAGGGCTCGACGTGATCTGAGCTGCTCAAAGCCACCCAGGACAAAGGCCTGGGGGTCACAGCGGAGGCGCCAGTGGCAATTGGCAGGCGTCCCTAGAGAGGGACTGCAAACAAACCTGCGGGGACTGAGGCCCACATAAAAATCCGTGGGGCAGCCATATCTGGGGTGCTGCGTACAGTTCTGGGGCGTGTGGTCCATCCCATTACCCCCTCTCAAAGCTCATGGAGGAGAGCAGCCAGCAGGCCGCCCAGAAAAGTGTCTGGTGCGGCAGCTGGGGGCCCCTGAGCTCCTCTGGATGGAGGAGGAGGAGGAGGAAGCAGCCCCACCTGCCAAAAAGGGCGGCGGAGAGAGGCCAGCGCACCTGCCGGACTCCCTGCTGCAAGGAATGGGGACCAGCGTCCGTGGGGCTGGCTTTCAAGGGGGGTGAAGCGCAGCCATGGGGCAGGCCAGTCAGCACAGCAGCGACGAGGAAAGCCAGCGTGGCTTTCTAGTCACCACGGAACCATGGAGTGACTTTGCTCCAAGACGGACTCGCGGCCCCACCTACCTCACAGGGTTGCTGTCGAGGGATAAAACGGAGGGCGGGAAAGAGTGGTGGGAGCCGCTTTGAGTTCGTAGGAAAAAGCGGGGCTTAAATAAATAGTGAACCTCTGCATACAGAGAAACGGGAGCAGAGCGAGTCGGAAGGGGCCTCCCGGGCCATCTAGTCTGACCCCGGCTCCAGCCGGCTCCGCTCACGGCACGCCCCCCATGGGCATATGTGCAGCCTCTCCTTGAGCACCCGCACCACTGGGGCCTCCGCCACCTCCCGGGGATGCCCAGAGAAGTGCATCTGAGCATCAGTCGCCGGGGTCCGGGCAGGCCTATCCGTCGCCCACCTGCCCTGCCTTGCAGAAATCGGTGCAGGGCATCAGGCTGGCGCCCGATTCCGCGCTTTAAGGCTGGGGCGGCAACCCCCTGGCCCCCAGCTCCTGCGCCCCTCCCATCGGTCAGAGCCCCGGCAGCACGTCCAGCTGGGGCCGTGCTGTGGCCTGGGGGGCGCCGGGCTCCTCACCTTGGCAGCTGCTGCACTCGCAGCCGTGGATGATGGGCAGCACCACGGGCTCCACCTCGCCGCCCTCGCAGCGCAGGTTCAGGATGCGGACGGGGCTGACCGGGTCCAGGCGGTAGCTGCAGCAGTCGCAGGAGGTCTGCAGGTAGGGCTCCTGCGAGGGGACGCGCTCAGCAGCCGGCCGGGTTGCGAGGGGGGCGGGGGTGGGGGCGGGGGCGCGGGGGGGCCTCGCTTACCTCGGGGATGACGCTGGTGTGGGAGGCGCAGTGCCCGCTGCAGTGGCTCACCTCCACGTCGGCCAGGAAGCAGCGCCCGCGGGAGATGTTGCGCCGCTCCGTGTAGTGCCGGCACTCGGGCCCCGGCTCCGCTGCACGGGAGGAGGACGGTGGGCACCCCGGCGGGCCGATGGGGGTGGGCGCCCCGCGCGGGGGGGGGGGGGGGCGGCCAGATCCAGGCCGCCGGGGTTCCCGGGAGGCCGTGCCGGGCCCGCCGTCGAGGGTGGGCTGCGCAGCGCCCTCCCCTCCCATTGCTCTCCACAAATGAAGACTGAAAAGCCATGCGCCATTTTGTCCGGAAAGGCCTTCGGACTAAATGACGGGCCCGACTTCGGCACCCACGGTGGGTGTGGGCTGCACCCCTCCCCTCCCGTTCCCAGGCCGTGGGGTTTGCGGGTTCCTAGCTTTTGCATTCCTTTTGCCCCCCCCCGCCACCCACTGGCATGGCACCCCCCTCCCCGAGTGCCCTTGAAGGCAGCCCGGCCAGCCCGCATCCCGGAAGCCCCGGCACTGACCTGTGATGCAGTTCTGGGCGTTGCACGTGCGGAGCTGGCGCAGGGGGGCCGGGCACGGCTCCCCCAGGGGGGCCGGCAGGTGGCGGCTCCTCTCGGACTCGCCCCCCCCGCAGCTGGCACTGCAGGGGCTCCACTCCGACCACTCGCTCACCAGGCATCCGGCTGCGGGGGCGCGGGAAGGGATTAGCGGCCCCTCAGGGCTGGTGGGGGGAGAGCCCCCCAAGGGCTGAGAGTGGGGGGCGGCAGCCTGGAGCTGAAGTGGGGGTCGTCTCGCCAAGGAAAGCGGAGGCACGTCCCACCTTGCCCTGCACGGGCATGGGGCAGGCGGACGGGGCACGGCCGGCTCCTGGCGCTGGCGCGGGAGAGTGCGGGACGGCTGCGGCCACCCCGTGGGAGGAGCGCGTGTCTGGACCGGGGTGCGCGACCCACACCCTGTGGGGAGCCCTGAGGCCCCACGGGGGGCTGCGCAGCTCTCGCCGGCCTGCCGGGGCCGTGCCTGGCAGCAGTCCCGCCAGGGGCCAAGGGCCACGGGCTGGGGGTGCATTCCCCTCTCCCGACCTTCCGCACGTGAGGCGGGAGCCGGCTGCCCCCCAGACCCCGCCCCACCCTCCCGCCCCATGGGCGAGCCCCAGCTGGGGGCACCGCCGGGGTCACGCGGGGGGGGGGGCGGCACTCACCAGGACAGGCCTGCGGGTTGCACTGCGCCACCTCCTCCATGGCATCCGCGGCACACGGTGCGCCGGCGGGGCTCTCGCGGCAGGGCCGGTGCCGCAGGGCGCTGCCCCCCCCGCAGCTGGCGGAACAGGGGCTCCACGCCGACCACTCCCCGTAGCTCGGGCACTCCTGCCCCGGGCACGCGAAGGTGCCGTTCGCGCAGGTGCTGCGGAGGGAGGAGAGGCTCTGGGAAGGCGCCGCGTCCCCCGGAAGACGCTCGGGGGGCTTCAGTCACGACGAGCGGGCCAGCGTCCCGCTGCAGGCCCCCCGCGGCAGAACCACCCCACAGATCAGGGCCGGCCCAGGCAGGCAGGGGCAGAGAGCCGGAGCGGGGGCCCTCCTCTTTCGCACGGGCCTCTCCGGCCGGCCTCTTCCCCCGCAGCTGCTAGTGCAGGAGGACCCCTTTTGGTATGCCGGCCTTGCTCCGCTTCCAGCTTTTGAAGGGGCCGATGGTTTTATCAGCCCGTGTTTGACAGCTCGGAGTCCCGCGAGCCTCCCCGGAGAGCGCCGGGTGGGACGGAAACGGCGCACGGGCCACGCGGGCCAAAGCGACCCGCACCAGCCGTGCCTCTCCAGGCCTCCCACCGGCTTCCCGGAGCGCGTGCCCCGCCTCGCCCAGCCCCCAGGCCCCCTCACCAGGTGTGGCAGTCCAGCTCCGCAGACCCTCCGGGCGCCACCTCCAGGGTGCCGTTGGCCGCGGGGAGCCCGCAGGGGCAGGCTGGGATGGGCAGGCACTCCCCGCCGTGCAGCAGCTGCCCGTCGGGACACCGGCACCCTGCACAGAGCAGAAGCGGGCGGGAGCTCGCCTTGCACCCGGCCTCCCCCGGCCCGGATGCCCCAGGTGCTCTGACCCCGACCCCGCCGGCCAGCATGGCAGCGGCCGGCATCCGAGGGACCGGCGGTGCGTGGCCTGGGGCCTGGAGGAGCAACCGGGCTCGGCGCTGGGGGACAGAGAGTGGCCGGCCGACCCGCTGTCAGGACGGGGCGAAGCGGAGGGAAAGGGGCGGCCGGGGCGGGGTGGGGCGGGGTGGGGGTTACCCTGTTCGCAAGCTCCCTGCAGGCACTCTGCATGTTCCCAGAGGTCTGCGCAAGCGCGTGGGCAGCTGTTGGCGCAGGTGGGGTCGTGCACCTTGCCCCGGTCCTCACATTCCTCTCCTAGGGAGAGAAAGCAGCACAGCATGCGGGCAGGCCATTCGGGAGAAGGGGGCGTGGGCGGGGGGCCTCTACCCTCCTCCCCACCAGCCAGGACCCCCACGGGCCGGCGGTCCCCTGCCCATGACTGGCAGCCTGAAAGCGCTCTGGCCCTCGCCGTCGGGGGACCCCTCGGCCCGCCGCCTCCTCCCCCGCCGCCCCCCTGGGCAAAGGAAGCCGAGGAGCCGGGGCCGGGCCAGCCTCAGTCCAGGAGAGCGTACGCGGACCGGCAGCGCTCCAGGCCGCATCCTGCCTTGCTCAGCAGCCCTCACCTCTGCCCGCAAGGTCTGCCTCCAAGCGGGGCAGGCTTGTCGGGGTCAGTGGCTTTCGCTGAAGGCCGCCCCACATTTGCCCCCATAGCTAAGCAGTGCTGGGAGGCGCCCGGATCATGCCCATCGGCCCCCGGCCCTGCAGGGGGCCTCAAGCGAGCAGCAAGCAGGGAAGCCGCTCCCGAGGCAGCGCTGGGTCCCATGGGGCAGAGGCAGGGAAGGGGCGGCCCGTCCGCTCAGAGACGCTACCTGGGCAGGTGGCCGTGTTGCAGCCCTCGGACTGGGATCGTGGCCCGTGGCAGCGCGGCTCCCCCGCGGGGTGGTGGGCGGAGCGCCAGCGCACGCGGAAGCCCCCGCTGCAGGGCTCCTGGCAGGGCCCCCACGGCCCCCAGGCGCTCCACAGGCAGGCGTCTGGAAAAGAGGAGCTTGCTGGGCTGGGGGCTCCCAGGGCCCCTTCAGCGCAGGGGCCGTCTCCCCCCTTGGGCCTTTCGGGACGTGTGGCCTCCCCAGCCGGTTGCCCTGCAGCTGCCCCACCGTTCCCGACCATCGCCGTGCTGGCTGGGGCTGATGGGAGTCGGGATGTGGAACACTTAGGGGGCGCCAGGCCGGGAGAGGCAGCTGCAGCGACTGGCCGCCCCCAATTCCGTCCTTGTGGGCCTTCTTGGTTGGGGCCTCCCCAAGGGGCAGCCCTCCATCAAGCGGAGCCCTCCCCCGTTCGAGGGGGCCGTGGAGGCGAGAAAGGGCAGGGTGGGGCATCTCAGCCCCCACAGGCAGCAAGGGGGGCCAGACGGCTGCCCAGCGGGCGACGCTTCCTGTTGCGGAACAGCTGGCCTCTCCCGGGCTTGCTGGAGCCCAGGTGCCAGAGCGAGATCGGCCGGCCCAGTTCTTTGCGCCACGGAAGCACATCGCGTGCTGGCCGCGTTCAGGTGTAGGGAAGTGCACGCAGCCGCCTTTGGAGTTGTACAGGAATTCCGGGAAAAAATTCTTTGGAGCAGGACACCCCCCACAGCAAGGACACCCCCCCCCAAGCACCGCCAGGTCAGGGGGAGCAGATTCCTGGCTCGGATTCCCGGCTCGGGGTCTGGGGCGGGCCAGCTGCTCCGAGGCTGGGAGGGCAATCTCGGAGGGGAGGGTGGGGGGGTCCTTCTGGGGTGGGAGGAGACCACGGTGGCCGGGGCAGAAGTCACAGGGATGCTGCTCTGGGCCCTGTCCCCCCACCCCACCCAAACGCCGAAAACGGCCACGAAGCAAAGATACACGGGGGCTGGAGGGGGGTGGTAAAAGCCGGTCGGCCCTGCGAAGGAGGCCTGCACTCCCGAGCTCGGACCCCTCGACTGCACTGCACCCTGATTGACGTGCCTAATTAATTTTGCTAACTTCAAAGGAAACACCCCCCACCCCAGGAGAGCCTGTTCCGGGTATCACAACATCTCTGGGACACTCCCAATTCAAGACTCTCCCCGGCACTCGACTGAAGCATCGTTGGGGATTCGGAGGAAGGGCCCCCCGCCAGACCCTCCCCCAGCCCACCCCCCGTGCCGCCCCCTCACCCTGGCAAGCATGGGGGTCCGGGCACAGCCGCTCCTGCCGCAGGTCTGCCGAGCACAGGGCCGGCCTCCCCGTCCAGGGCCCGCCGGTCTGGGGGTCCAGGCACAGCCGGTAGCGGTGCTGCACGGACACCAGGGCTGGCGGGGGGGCCCCCTCTCCCCTGGGCTGGTGGTCCTGCTGCGCCCGGAGGACGGAGGCCGTGCTGGGGCTGAGCGCCGTCAGGTCCACACAGGGAGAGCAGGGCGTCCACGCCGACCACGCGCTCAGCGGGAGCAGCCCTGCGGAGGAAAGAGCTCCTGAGCGTCCCGGCCGGGGGGCGGGGGGCTCAAGGCCTTTCGGAGGTCTTTGGGCGACCGCCTCTCACAGAGCCAGGCCAGCAGCGTGCCTCGGACCGTGGCCATGGCGCAGCCGGCACCCCTCCAGACCTGCCGGGCCGCAGTGCCCAGAAGCCCCGGCCGGCTCTGGATCCGGCGACTCTAGACCAGCCCCCTGGGGGCACCAGGCGGGGAAGACCGGCAGCACGGGCCAGCGGGGAGGAAAACAGCCCGCGGGCACTTTCCTGCCACGGCAGAGAGGGCTGGGCCCCCCCCCCCCCCCGACACTTGATGATCCGGCCCAGCGGGCGCCCAGGGGCTGCAGCTCTGCTGCAGGAGCGGAGGAAAACGGCTGGGCCAGGGCCAGACCACACAGCCCAGCTGGCTCTCTTCGCAGCCCCCTTCCGGGGTTGGGAGGGCAGGGGCCACAGGCGCCCCCTGGGGCTCCGTCTGCCCCCCCGCCCCAACCACTGGATGGCTCCCAGCTTGTGTGCAGGCCCCGCTTTCTAAAAGGCGGAAGTGCCTCTCCAAAGGCTCTCCAACGGGCTGCAAGAGCTGTGATGGAAAGCCCCAACTTTGGGCATTGGGGCTTGACTCCTTTCTGTTGTCAGCCGCAGCCCCCTGCTGGAAGGCCCCCCAGGGAGCTTGGGCACGTCCCGGGCCACGGGGCGCTCGGCGCTGGCTGGGAAGGCTCCCCACCCTTCCCCGCTTTGAGGAGGCAGGAGGTGCGGCTTCCCAGCCATCCCGGGGCCCCCGTGCGCAGAGTGCTTCAGACCCACGGTGCTTGGGGTCCTGTGCACCCCTCCAGCCCTGGCAGTGCTGAGGGCCCCCCCACGAGCAGGCTCGCCCCGGCCCGTGGCCGTGGCCCCTCCATGGCAGCAGACGCACTCACCCTGGCAGCCTTCGCTGCTGCACTGCAGGGCGCCGTCCTGGCACAGGCTGTGGGGAGAAGGCCGCGGTTACGTCCCGCCTTGCGGCATGGGGGCGACCGACCCCCAGGAGGTCCTTGACCTCCCTGTGGGCGCCAGGTGGCAGGGCTGCCGGGATGGGCTCCGGCCCCCCCAAATTTGCCGGAACGCCGCTGGCTGTGACTCCTCTGTTTCCCGCGCGGGGCGGATCGGAAGGGGTCCGTCCTGCCCCCTCGCCGGCTCCTCCTGGGAGCCAGGCCCCCTGCCCGGAACAGAGCTCCCCCCCCCCCCCGAGGAGACCGGCCCGACTCACCATTCCTTGCAGCCGACCCACACGGTCTCGCCTGCGGCCAGGTGCGTGGGGCCTCCCGGCCAGGCCGGATGCAGGCAGCCGCACTGGGAGGGGGGGACGCAGGCGCCCCCCTGCTCCACCAGGCCCTGCGGGCGGACAGAGGCGGCTGAGGGGTCGGAGTGCCGGCGGCACGGGGAGGATCCCCAGCCTGGGGCCCCCCAGACGCACGCCGGCGGATGAGGGTGGGTGGGGGCTGGCATGCTGGACGGGGACCCGGAGATCCGGATTCCAATCTGCGCCCAGCCGGGCCCGGCACAGGCTCCGACCCAGCCCGCCTCACAGGGGTGTCGCAGGGGCAGCACGGAGCAATGCACGGGCGCCCACAAGAGGGAAGCGGCAGGAGATGAATGGAGAGCGGCGGCAACAAGTGAGTCCCACACGTCTGGCGGAGGTGGGCTGGGGATGATGGATGCGGGGCTCCGGGTGCAGCGGGAGAGTGTGAGGTGCCTGGGCGCGCTGGGGAGCCGCACTCGGAAAGGACGGGGAGCCTGAGTGCGGATCTGCACGAAAGCTGCAGGAGCCGCTCGAATGCAGAAGCGACCGCTGGGCCACGGGGGCGGCCGGGCGGCCCGTTTGCGCCTCGAGGGACGATCGCCAGGCGACTGGCCCCCTCCCGCGACACCCCCACCCGCTCTGCTCATCTCCGTGGCCGTGCGGGGAGACTTTTTTGCGGGGGGGCATTTGAGGAGGGGAGCGTTCGCTCTTCCTCCGCCCGCTGTCATCCTCTCCGGACTTCGCCCCGCAGGGCAGGGGAGCCGAGGCAAAGCTCCTGCTGGCCGGTTCCCACCTGCCTGGGCACCTGAGCCCCCCGCCAGGACTTGTTCCCAGTCCCCGAGCCAGCTGCATCAGAGCAGAAGGCCTCTGAGCATGTGCAGAGTGCTCATGTCCCTCCCAGTGCGGGGGAGCCTCACCTGGGGGCAGTAGCAACCCGGCAGGCACCGGGGGATGTCCCGGCACAGCTCCGGGTGCCCTCGTGTGGAGCAGAGGCTGTCGCAGGGGGCAGCGCACTCCCGGAACTCAAAGGGGGCCTCGCAGCTGGACTCTGGGGGGGTGGGGGGAGGCGAGGGCAGAGCGGGTGAGTCCGGGCGCAGAGCGGGCAACCGGGCAGGGGCGGCAAAGCGAGCCCCTCCACATCGGGCTCCCGGCCGGCCCTCCTTGGTCCCTCGCTCGCCTGCTTGCATCGCCCACCCCGACCCCTCTCCATGGCGCTCCCGCCTGGGAGGTGCGGGCAGGGACCCCCGGAGGGGCTCCTCCCCGTGTCTCACCTGAGCACCGGGCGTAGTCACACATGCGGAACTGCCCGTCCAGCCCCAGGCAGGGCTCCCCGTCCGGCCCGGAGCCCTGCTGGTTCCGGTACCGCTGCTGCACCAGGAAGCTGCACGAACAGGGGGTCCAGGGGGTCCAGCGGCTCCAGGGGCACTCTGTGGAGGAAGGGAGGGGGGTGCTGAGAGCCGCGCGGCACGAGGGTCGCTCCCGCTGGGGGGGCCGGAGACGTTTCCAGGCAGTGAGAAATCATGCAAAAAAGACAAGGGTGCCTCTGAACATGTTCCGACCCCCCTCCACATTTTCACAGGCCAGCCTTCCCTGGTGCCCCGCAGCTCCCATCCTCCCCAGCCAGTGCAGCTCGGGGGCACAGGGTTGGGAAAGGCCCCCGCGGCAGCCCACAGACGCCCGGAGAGCCGGCGGCCCCAGCGAGGCCGAGGGCACGGCCTGCAGGACTGGCCCCCCCCGGCAGCCCCCCCCGCCCCACGTGCAGCGCCCCGCGTGCCCCCCAGGAGGCGCGGCGTCCCCACCTTGGCAGGCTCGGCGGTAGCAGGCGCCCACCTGCTGGCGCTGGCTGGCGTGGCAGGCGGCACCGTCGGCGGGGGGCGGGCAGGCGCACTGCCCTGTCCGGGTGGCCAGGCCGGTGCCACAGGTTCGCGAACAGGGGCCCCAGGCGGACCACTGGCACGGCCCCTCCCCTGTGGGGAAAGCCAAGGGGGACGGCACTCGCGCGCGGCACCGGGCAAGCCGGCCGCCTGGCGCTGCCCTTTGCCTCAGTCCCCAGCGCTTGCACGGGGAGGCTCCATCTTCAGCAATTACGGGAAAATATGGCCGCTGGCAGACCGGGAGCGAGCCAGGACAATTTTAAGCGTCTCCTGTTGGCGGCGGCTACCACATCCTGTTGCCACTGAACTCAACACACTGCCCCCGTAGCATCACAGAAACAGAAACAGAGCGAGCCAGAAGGGGCCTCCCGGGCCATCTAGTCTGACCCCCGGCTCCAGCCGGCTCCGCTCGCGACATGCCCACCATGTGCATGTCCAGCCTATCTTTGAACACCCGCACCGATGGGGCCTCAGCCACCTCCCCTGGAAGCACGTTCATCCCGTCCTTGAACACCCTCCCTGACGGGGCCTCAACGACCGAGCATGATTGGGCTAGAACTCCCCTCATCCCCAGCTGGCACAGTCCATGCTGGCTGGGACGATGGGTGTTGCAGTCCAACCCCTGGGAGGCGGCCCCAGCCTGCTGGGCATCCATTCAAGGGAAGGACGCCTGGCCGTCACTGCAGCCTCTCTGCCGAGCGCCTTGGTGGGAGCAGCACCTGCTGTGGAGGAGAAACCCCTCGCACCGTTTGGGGGACAGAAAGCCGCGCATCTTTTGCACTCCTCCAACGATGCGCCCGCGCAGCTGGCTTTTCCTGGCTCACCTTCAAATCGACCAGGCTGCCCTATGGGACGCCTCCTTCCTGCAGTTCCATCATTGTCGAAATTGTACTTTACATGTGATTTTAATATTCAGATGGAAACTGCTTTGGGATTTCGCTTAATATTTAGCAACACAGAAACAGGATCGATGAATCGATCAAAATGGAGCGAACCGGTTTCCCTCTTCCCTGGGGCTTTGCGAAATGGTCACGGCCACACAACCATCCTTTGGTCCTTGTGCGGGACCCACAACCGGGCCATTGCGAGCCCGCTTAACGTGGGTCAAGCAGGGGCACCACTGCAGTTTAAGCGTCCTTGGGAGGGGAGGGGTGAGAGCAAAAGAGGGGGCCAGTTCAAACCAAAAACGCCTCGCCCCCAGCATTGCGTTAAAGGTCAGGCCGGGCCATCCCGCATGAGAATTTCTGACACCCAGGCCTCCCCCGCCCGGTCCAGCAGACGGGGATCGCAAGCCCTCCGGCCTGAGCAGCTGCTGCGTGGAGAGAAACCTGGGCAAGTGCCCCCGACGGCCTTACCTGGGCAGGGCCCGGTGGAGCAGTTCCGGGCCTGCGTCTCCGGGCCGCTGCAGGGCGCGCCTCCGTTGCGTGGCGGCGGGTCGACACAGGCCCGAGCGCGGACCTGCGTGCCGTGGCCGCAGGTGGCTGGGCAGTCGGACCAGGGGGACCAGGGGGTCCAGGCGCCACTCACTGCAGGAGAGGAGAGCGAAGGACACGGTGGCCCGAGCTCGGGGAACCCGGTGGCGATCCCGGACGTCCGGCCAAGCCCTCGTGCTCCTTGCCGAACGCTAGCGCAACGGGAGAAGCGGCACGCAGAGGCCCCGGGGCTGCCTCCCTCGGCCGGATCCCTGGGCCCCCCGCCCTGCTGGCCCCCTGGCCTCGGGCCGGCCTGTCCCGCCAACCCTTTGGCCCCTTCTGCCTCCTTCCCCCGCACACGACCCCTCTCGCTCTGGGTCCCCCGGGGCCTTCCCCCCCGAGAGCTGGGCCGGTGTCTGGGCAGTGCTGCCCATCCGTGCTCCGCGCCTCTCCGTTGGGCGCATCAGTTGGACTGTTCAGAACAGCCAGAGCACCGCGCCACTGGGCGAGGGCTGCGGCGGCAGGAGGGGAGAACAGAAGTGCACGTGGAAGTGTTGCAGAGCCGCCGGATGAGGCTCCCCGGCCTCACAACTGCTTGGGGGCCGCTGGCGGCAAGGCCTCCCGCGCACAGAAGCAAGCAGGGGTCCACAACCCCTCGCTCTCTGAAAAGGAGCCCTTTTGAATTGAAAGAAGTCGTCCGACGACTCCAGAGCCAAGGATCTTCGGGGACCGAAACATTTCTGCCTCCCAGGCCTGGACCAGCCCACCGAGGTTGGCTGTCCGTTGAATCAGCTCACCTGCGCACGCGACGTCCAGGCAGAAGATGCCTTCCGGGGTGCAGATGCTGGAGAGAAGGGCAGAGAAGGGGTCAGTGCCTCCCTGCGGATGCCGGCCCTCTCCGGGCTTCTAGTCCTCAGCGGCTCAGGGGCTCAGCTTGTTCTGGCCCTGCGACTCTCTGGTTTGCAGAAGCCCCTCTCAGCAGTGCCCGGAGAAGGGGAACGGGGCCTGGGGAGGGGGCGGTGCACCTGGGGGCGCCGAGATGGCTGTGTGGGGACCCCAGGGGGGCGGGTCTGGCCCGCAAGCCGGGGCTCAGCCCCACGGCTGTGGCATAACAGGCGTCAGCGCGGACGGCTTGGCGCAGCTGCCCTTTGCACCGTGATGCGAGCGAGAGGCCCCCAGAGCGCCCGTCCGAGGCCCCCCCGCTCAGCTGCCGCTCCCGGGGGGGGGGGCCCGGGGCCCCGGGTTGAGGGGGGCGGCTGCGCGGGCCTTCGGGGGCACTCACCACTGCTGGCACTCGCCCACGAGCCAGGCGTCACCCAGGTCTCTCTCGCGGCCCTCGTGCAGGCACAGGGGGGGACAGGCCCCCGGGGCGCAGGGGCGGGTCTGCAGCTGCTCCTGCAGGCACTCGGGGCTCCAGGCGCCGGACGTGGAGGCCCTGCAGCAGCGGGAAGGGACCGGCCACTCGCCTCCTCCGGGTGGCCCGAGAAGGCCCGCGCGGCCACCCACGTTCCCCCACCGGCACGGAGGACGCGCTGCGCGGATCGGGCCCGGCTCAGCAGCTGCGCCCCCGCCCAAGGAGGCTGGGCCCACGGCGGCCTCCCCCCATCTTGGGGCAGCGCCGTGCGTCTGCCACGCACATCCCGCCAGGGCCCCCAGGAAGCACGTGAAGGCCCCGCTGGCGCCCACCGCCACTCCCAGCCGGCTGGGGTGCGGGGGCCGTCGCCCACCCCCCCGGGGGCACGGGGCCGGGAAGGCCTCTCCGCGCCGGGGCCTCCAGCGCCGTCCCCTTCCTCGCCCCCCCGGGCAGGAAGCCCAGCCACACGGGCCCCGGCCGGGGCGCCCCCAGGGCCCGCCCCGCCGTACCTGAAGCGGGTGCGGAGGCCGCTCCCGCAGGTGGCGCTGCACGGGGACCAGGCGGACCAGAGGCTCCAGGCGCACCCGCCGAGCGCGCAGGTGTGGTTGGTGCAGAGCAGTGCCCCCTCCAGGCAGGTGCAGGTGTTGCAGCCGTCCTCGCGCACGCTGCCGGGCGCCCAGCTGTGCCCCTGCGCGTCCGTGCACTCGCAGTGGGCGGGGGGCACACAGGCGCCGTCCTGCTCCAGGGTCCCTGCACGAAGGGCCCGGGAAGCATCCTGGAATGAGTGCTCCAGCGGGGCTTTGCGCCCGTTCGAGGGTTGTGTGTGTGGAAAGCGTGCTCCGGAGCATGAGCAGAGCACACTTCCTTCACTCCCCCGCCCCCTCCGACCGAGCTCGCAAGCTGGAACGGCTGCCGGCAATGACCCCGCTGCCCTGGCTTGAGTCTGCCTGGGACAAGGCAGCCTTCTGCAACCGGGTGCTGGAGCTTGGGCTGGGGGCTCCTACGGCCCGTGCCAAGACCCCCGGGGCCTCCTGAGGCTCCGCACGTGGCCACACCCCCTCCCCATCTCGCCCCCTTTTCCTGACCCCCTATTATGGGGCGGTTGCTGGGATCTGCAGGTCCTTCCCCATCCAGGAACACCAGAATGCCTCTTCAGAGCGAATCTTGCTGGCAGCAACCCCTCAAAGCAAGACATGCCGGGGGTCCTGCCTTCTCCCGCCCTGCACCTCCCTGCGCTTAAGCAGCTCCCGGCTGCCCCCCCACCCCCCCAGCGCAGCTCACCATCCAGGCAGCGGCAGCCGGGCTCACAGGCCTCCGCGTCTTGGCACGCCACGCCTTCCTGGAGGTCCCAGCAGTGGCGGGGGCAGGCGTTGGCGCAGTCCACCAGGTGCATGGCGGGGGGGCAGCCCTCCTCTGTGGGGAAGGCGGCGGTCATCCCTGGGCCGGGGGCCGGGACGCTCCGCCGGGCGCCACCGGGGCCCCCGCCCCCAAGCACCCCCCCCCGCTCACCGCAGGGCTGGGGGTTGCAGACGCGCACGTGGTGCCTCTCCCCCGGGCAGCGGCGTCCTCCGTTCTTGGGCGGGGGGCTGGTGCAGCTCCTGGTGCGGGTCGCGCGCCCCCCGCCGCAGGGCCGGTCGCACCAGGACCAGGGGCTCCACTTGGACCAGGCGCCGTCCACTGCAGGAGAGGCGGGTGAGCAGTGGGGGCTGCCCGGCCGGCGCCCCCCCGGCCCCTGCCCTTGCCCCCGGAGCACCGAGGCGTCCACCCCCCCGGGAGCGCCGGCCCCACGTGCTCGGACGGCCACGCAGGGACGCGCGCCGGAGACCAGCACGGGCAAGAGCGTCCGTTGCGCTTCTCGTCTCGGGCTGCCCTTCTCAACGGCACGTGGCTTCTCACGGCCAGCGCGCGGGGCGAGGACACGTCCGGGGCCAGATCGATCCAGCTGGGGACCCACTCCGCCCCCCCCAGGGCTCCCCGGGGGCCCCCCTCTCATGGCATCATAGAATAGTCAAGCTGGAAGGGGCCAGGAGGGCCCTCGGGTCCACCCCCCCCGTTGCAGGACACCAAGCCACACCGCTCCCCTCCGGTGGCTGCCCAGTTTCGCCTTGCGTGCCCCCCCCCCGCTCCTGCGCCATTTCCCCACTCCCTCAAGGGGGGGCACACCTCTCCTCGGGCGAAGTGCCTGGCAGCACGAGCTCGGCCTCATGCCGGCAGCCTGGCCCCAGTTCGTGCCTCGGGGTCCCTTCTGGCCACCCCGGGATGCTGCCCCCGAGAGCTCGTCCGGAGGGGGCCGTGGCCTTCCAAGCCAAGCTCGCGGAACCAAGGTCCAACTGGGATGCCCGGAAGCGCTTCCTGACGGCTAGGACCCCCAGGGTGTGGAATGGGCTTCCCCGGGAGGTGGCTGAGGCCCCATCGGGGCAAGGATAGGCTGGACGTGCACCTTGCTCTGCCGATATTTTGCTCTTCCCTGGGATGGGAACCCGCAGAGACCGGAGCATGTATGAACTTGTCGTAAGCTCAGAGGATCTGCCGCCGAGCCCGTTAGCCGAGCCCAGGCCCAGACCACGCAGCCCGCCATCTCCAGCCGTTCCCCTGCCGCTAGAGCCATCGGGGCTGCAGACCGGCACCGTCCGGAGGCGTCAGGGAGCCCCGGCTCTGGCACCCCAGTGCAGCTGGCCAGGCGAGGTCCCAGGCGGGGGGGCGCGTGCCGCCTACCTTTGCAGGCCTGCAGGTTGCAGAAGCGCCGTTCTGCGTTGGCTGTGAGGATGTCTTCGCACCAGTGGCCGCCCTGCCCCGGCGGGTGGTAGGTGCGCAGGCGACGCTGCTGGCCGACCCCACAGCTGCGGGAGCACTCGCTCCACGGAGACCAGGGGGTCCAGCTGCAATTCCGGCCCAGGCACCCCTCGCCCTCGCACAACGGGGAGTCTGCGAAGCACGCGGAAAGGAAGAGGCGGAGACGGGGGGGGGGCTTTATGCGTGGCTTTGGTGCAGCAGGGCAAGGCCTCAGGCCTGGGGGCCAATTTGGCTTCAGGGCCCCGCAGAGGGCCAAGCCCCTTCCCCCAGATGACCACTCCCTTTTCCCCCCACCACGGGGTCCCCTCTTTCTAGGTCAGTGATGGCAAACCTACGGCATGCGTGCCACAGCAGGACCCAGAGCCCTCTCTGTCGGCACGCGAGTCAAGCCACCCCAGCATCGCCCAGCAGCCGAGCATCGGATAACAGCGCACATGGGGACCATGCGCCTGCTCGGAAAGGAGAAGCGGCACCAGGCGATGACTTCACAAGCCACAACACATTAGCCGCGACTCGTCCGAGCTTTGGCATGGCCGGTCAATGCGCTGCCAAAGATATAGATATTTGCTTGGACTGGCTGTGAGCTGTTCTTTCTAAAGTAAAACCTGAGTTTTCAGGTTTTATTGCAGTGTTGGCCCTTTGCGATAAGTAAGTGGGTTTTGGGTTGCAGTTTGGGCACTCGGCCTCTTAAAGGTTCGCCATCACTGGCCTAGGGGGTCAAAATTCCTCTCCCGCGTACAGCATATGGATGATGCTCAAACATGTGTCGCCCCTCCCACCTGCTCTTGGACTGCGGCCCCGAAAGCTTCCTCCAAACAGAACCAGGCTGAGGGCAGTTTGCCACCCTCACCCCCCCGCCCCGCTTTAGGGACCTGGGAAATCTTAAACCAAATGGAAAGGGGGGGCACTTCTGCATGTGCAGAAGGTGCTTGCGGGCACTCTGCACATGCTTGGCACAACTCCCTTCTGGAGAATCAGGGCTGAATTGAGACACAGAGTGGGGCCCCTCTTCCTAGTGCTTTTCCCCACTGGCCACAGGCTGCATCGTTCCCCCGGCCCGCGAGCCACAGACCCCCACCCCCCCGGCCGCATCGGAGTCCACGCCCTGCATGGCAGTTCCGGAAACACCTGCAGCTTCCTCCACCCACAGCTCTCGTGCCACGCACCATGGCACACGGGACACGCCAAAGGGCGCCGCCAGAATGGCGATGCACGGGATTTGCAGGGCTCACCCCACGGCGGTTGAGGCGGGAAGAAGCCCCCGCGGCTCCCTGCACACCCCTGGCAGCTGTGCCGGGAAACGGCTGCAGAAGGACAACCTCCGAAAGCGGGCCTCCTGCTGAAAGGCAGCCGCCGCAGGAGCGCTGGACGGGCACCGTCCGCCCGGCCCGCGCTTCTCACCCGTGCACTGGGGCAGGTTGCACTCGCGCTCCTGGAACGCGTCCCCCACGCAGCCGGCGCCGTCCAGGCAGAACCGCATGCGGGTCTTCATGGCTGGGAGGTCTGGATCACTGCAGGTTTTCGAGCAGGGCGTCCAGGGCGACCAGGGGGTGAAGCTGTCCTCCTCGGAGACTGGGAAGTGGGGCAGAATGTAAGAGAAGTGGGAACACAGCCTTGTGTGGTTTGATCCAAGGATGGGGAAGAATCTTGAACTTTTCAACCATTTGAAACTCATCTATCTTTTGATTCCCCCCAAATCTCTGAATTTTGCAACAGAATTCTCCAGTCAAAAAATACACAGATAACTGTGAGTATTGGCAGAAACAGTGTTACAAGACGCATTAAGTAGGAAAAATGGGTTGCTAGTCCTCAGCATACTTGGTAAAAGCACGTACAGAAAACATGTCTTAGGAGAACAGTGCTCAAAATAAGAATGACTTTTAAATTTATTCTCCAAGTTCAGGAGGAACTGAATCTGATATTGGAAAAATGAGAAACAGAGAGGCCAAAGCGGGCAGGTTGCTTGTTTGCCCCCCAACCTCTACCAGAGGGGGCGCAAATCCACCAGGGTCCCCGCGTCTCCCTCCCCCGGAATCCCTGCCCCTTACCTGGGGTGCCAGAGACGGGCTCCCGCGTGGGTCCCGCCACGGCTGTGAAGGAGAGAGACAGGTGGGCTGAGCCGCAGACCCCAGCCGGTCACGAGAGCCCTTCTGCACCGACCCCTCGCCCCGCCTGTCTCCCCGAGGACCCCAGGGAGGCCTCCGTGGCCCTCCTCGTCCGCTCCGCTTCTTCCTCACAACAGCCTGGCAGGGTGGGCCGGGCACTCCCGACCGCTAACCGTGCTGGCAGGGGCTCTGGGAGTGGAGGCCCAAAGCCCCCGGAGAGCGCCGCAGCCCACCCACGCTCCACCCCGTCCCTCGGCCCACGGCAGGCACGAAGAAGCGCCGAGGAGGGCGTGGATGGCCGGGGGGCGCCTGCCGGCAGGCCCGACAGTGCCCCAGGCGGCGAGGGGCCCCCAATGCCCCGGCCCTCTCACCGTCGCAGTCCGGCGTCTGGCAGTACTTGAGGTCCACCCGGGGGCCGGCGCACCCCTTCCCCCCGTTGGCCGGCCGGGGGCTGGAGCAGTCTCGGGCGCGGGTCATGTTGCCCAGCCCGCCGCAGGTCACGGAGCAGGGACTCCAGGGGCTCCAGGGCGCGAACCCCCCGTCCACGGGGCAGAGGGAGAGCGTGCAGCTCAGCTGTCCGCTGCGGCAGGAGCTGGGCAGGGGAGAGGAGAGGAGAGGAGAGGAGAGGAGAGGAGACGGGAGGGGCGGGGCGGGGAGGGGAGGGGAGGGGGTGGGGGCGG